TATGGGAGAGACACCGAGAGACACATTACCTTATTTCATTATTAATTAAGTTATAGTAGTAACGATTTGATAATATGGCACAAAAGTCAGTCTTTACAATAATATTTTTCTTGGTTTATGTTATTGTTAGAATTTAAATAATGCTTTAACTTTTAAAAACACCGTGTAAATTTCTAAGAAAAACAAAAGGGTATGACAGTGGCTACCTGCTTACAAAAACCACAAGGGCAGAACTACATCTTAGATTCTAGGTAGTAAGTAGATAAGTGGACGGTAGTATCTGAGTCCCTTCAGTTAGTACTGAGCCCGTGATCACACTGTTTGCTTGCATTCACTTTATTGATTGTTAAACAACCTAAATGTATGGAATGAGACATTTTAAATCACTTCACACAATACAAGAAAGCAACGTTGTCTTTCCATTTACCTTCCAATGCCAAGCGGCTTGGTTTTCCCAGCAGTTGTTGGGTTTGGATGAGAGTGACTTCGAGGGAGCATCCTGTCACATCCACCCAGCCAAGACTCCTATGCAATTCGGGGACACTGGAGAGGGCCCTACCCTTTGGAAAGCCCTTTTCCCTGTCGACGGAGTAGGTGTCAGAAAATGCATAAATCCCCGGGAAAGCTCGGCTGTCGCCTGACCTCTGTGGGCTGTGCAGTTTCCCTAACCTTGACCTGAAGTCAGCCTCTTTAACCTCTTTCTAAAACGTCGCTCCAGCCGGGCTGTCATTTGAAAGGAAAACGAAACCGTCCAGGTCAGAGCTTTGGGAGAGGGCACTCGTTCCTTGGGGGCAATTTCCCAGCCACCCTCTCTGTCCAGCGATTTGAAATTATCGCGTGCCACAAGATCCCCTTCACGCTTCGGATGCCCAACCCGCTCCCCTCCGTTTCCCTCTTCGAACGTCCGCACGAGTGGGTGGCAGCACCGAGGCGATTTTATTCGTATTTTTTTCCTCCACGTTTTGTCATGGAAACGCTGACACAACCTCCAGACGGCGGCCGAGCACGGCCGGGACTGAGGGCTTTTGGGACCCTGCGGGAGCGCGGCGCGCACTCAGCACTCCCCGGGAAACAGCTGGACGCGACCAAGTCTCGGGTAGGGGCGGGGGGAGCGCGACGCTCCGCCCCGGCGCTCGGGTCTCTCCCGCCTCCCTGCTCTCCGCAGGCGCCCTCCCCTCGCCGGGGGCTGCGAGTTGCATTTGGTAAAACCCAGCCCCGGAATATATAGATCATTGGAGCGCAATGAAGTAGCCTTTGGAGAGGAGGGAGGGGACCCGTCCCACAGCCACAGCGACCAGCACAGCGGCGGCGGCG